TCTCTCTCTCTCTCTCTCTCTCCTCTCCTCTCCTCTCCTCTCCTCTCCTCGGTCTGTCTCCCACCTGGATTTGTGTGTGTGTGTGTGTGTAGGTCATAGGTCAATGTTGGGTATCTTTCCCAGTTGCTGTCTACCTTATATTTTAGGACAGGGTTTCTCATTAAATCTGGAGCTTGCCCAGTTACACCGGCTGGCTAGCAAGCTCCAGATATCCTGCTATCTCCACTCGCCCACCCAGCACTGGAATTATAGGTATGCATTGCCACTCCTGGCTTTTACTTGGGTGATGGGGATTGGGCTCAGATACTCACACTTTATGGCAAACACTTTACAGACTGAATCATCTCCCTAGCCCCTCATGATTTTTTGAGACTGGGTCTCACTATGTATCCCAGGCTAATTTCAAACTCACACTCTTCCTTCCTGAGCTTCCTAAGTGCTAGGGCACCCTACCACACCCAGCTGGATATTCATTTCTGATGTGGCCCAGTCTCTTTTGCCCTGGTCCATGCTTGCTAATAGCTCTAAGCAGCCTCCTAAGCAGATGGATGAAATCTGTAGAGAGAAGCAGACCATTTCCTTTGGGCTCACTGGGCAATGTTCAGGTTCTCTAGGGGAGAGATCCCATGATCTTCGGGCCAGAGCTCGTCTCTTTCACAACAGGCTCTTGTACTTGGTAAGCAGCTTGGGGGAACTCCAGCTCATACTCCTATCAGATGTTCTTCCAGCCTGTCTGTTTAATCATCTCAGCCTTGGGGAGCTGAAGAGATGGGAAGACACAAACCAAAGTGCATTTCCTTCTTGCTTCTCTCCATCCAACACAACATTAACTCCAGAAGTGTAGGAGCCTTTTCCAAAATGTAACTCAGTTCAATTCTGACACTGTCTACCTGGAGACAGTGTTATAGCCCACAGGGTGAAGGAAGGCTCGGTCTCGCAAAACTGCCTCTCCACTTGAGATGCCATCACAGACAACAGGTTGTCATCTTGTATGTCTAAGTAACTGGCTGCAAACCGGAGTTCCCAGGACCGCTTACTCATCAAGTTCAGTTAATTTGTTAAGGCAGAATAGAGCACTCAGGGAAACATTTATGTTCTCTCATTTGTGAAAAAGGAATTTCAAAGGGCACATGAATAGAGAGATACACAGGGCAAGACGTATGGAAAGGGGTTCCGGTGCTCCTTTAAGCCCCTCTGTATGCATCACCTTGTGTGCTCAGCGCTTAGCTACCTGAATCCTATCCTTTTGGGTTTTCATGCAGCTTTATTACATAGGCATGATTATCAATTGGGAATTGATCAGATCAAACTTCAGCTGCTCTTCCTGTCCGGAGGTTGTGGGTGTGGCTGAAAATACCACCCACAATCCAGCCTCCTCTTTCCTGTGAGCAGGCTTTGTCTTTAGCCCCTCCCAGCTATCTCATAAGCCTGCAAAAGATATACTTAGCCCTGGAGACTGAAAAGAGTGGCTTGCTGGAAACAAGAGGTAAAGAACTTAGGTTTTTCACAAGAGCAGCAGCTCTTGACCTTACATCCTGCAGTAGATTGTCAGATTGTTGTACTGAGT